TTTGGTCTCTCTCTGTCTCCCTGATTCTCCCTGTTTCTCTGTCTCCGATTCTCTGTATCTTTTTCTGTCCCCCGTCTCCTTTATCCCTGGACTCTCTTCCTCTCTATATCTCTCCACACCGGCCACCATCAGAGGCCCCCATGGCGTCTGGACGATGGAGGAGCAGGGCCTGGCCCCCAAGTTCGACACCACGTTTGAGAGTGCACGCCCCTCACAGACACACATGGCGCTGGTGCAACTGGAGCGTGTGGGCCTCCTCCGCTTCCTGGTCAGCCAGAACGTGGACGGGCTGCACGTGCGCTCCGGCTTCCCCAGGTAACCCCCAGCTTCCAGCCCCGCTCAGCCTCGGGCAAGCCGCACCTCTCTGTGGGCCTTGGTTTCCTCATCTGTAAAGTGGGTGGTGATGGCAGCTCCTCCCTGGAGGTGCCGAAGTGACAATTCAGTGAGGCAGCCAGGAAAAGCATTCAGCAGGGCTTCGTACACCAGAGCTCTCACTCATTGTCGGTGCCTCCTGGGCACATCTCGCAAGCTAGAATCCCCTTTTCCTGGTCCCAGGCACGATTCCAGCCCAGACCCCTCGACCTCTTGTCGGCCCCAGCGTGTGGTTTCTGAGCAGGTGGCCCCCTGCACCACCCAGCCTCCTCCTTCTCCTCCCACAGGAACAAGCTGGCAGAGCTTCACGGAAACATGTTTGTAGAAGAATGTGTCAAGTGTAAGACGTGAGTGCCATGGGAGGGTGGGGGGCATGATGGGGGCAGCCCACGTGCTGGCCCTGCTTAATGTCACTTCCCATCACTTCCTGGGTTGGGCTCTGCCAAAGGGCATTGTGAGTTGAGTCTGAAGTCCCCAGAGACTCAGGTGTGGAGCAGGAGTGGGGGTGACCCTCCTGGTTGTGAGACCTGGGGTCCTGTAGACTCATCACTCAACCTCTGCCTGCGCTGTCACGTGCCCTCCTGTGTATCTGCGATGCCCATTATAAAGGACACCAGTCCTACTGGAGCAGAGCCTCTTTACTTCCCTGTGACCTCACCTTAAGCCATTACATAGCAAAGGCCCTATTTCCAAATAAGGTCACATTCTGAAGTACCAGGTGTTAGGACTCCAGCATATTTTGGGGGGGGGATGCAAATCAGCCCATATGAAGGCATGACAGGGTGTGACCCCCACTCTGGGAAGGCTGAGCCAGAGCCCTTCGTGGAGCCGGTGGGCTCTGGGTGCGTGCCCACGGCTGCGTGAGCAGCCCTCACAGGTGTATCTGCGGGGTGGAACGTGACTCCCCTTGCACATGGAATCTCCCAGACCAGAGCACAGGTGGGGTCCCCACTTTAAAAAAAAAAATGTTTCCTCTAAATTTATTTGGTAAGATTTAGACCTGTGGATAACTCAAAAACAGATCATACATACAATGAACTCCTACTTTACCTAGAGCTTGACTTGCAAGCTTTTTCTGTAAAGAACTAGACGGCAAATATTCTCAGCTTTGTGAGCCAGTCTCTGTCATGACGGTGGGCGCTGTGTGTCATGAAAGCCCCAACGGGCAACACATAAAGGAGTGGGCAGAGCTGTGTGCCAATAAAACTTTATTTCCAAAAACCACAGGCCGAGGGCCGGATTGACCCAAGGGACCATAGTTGGCCGACCCAGACCTAGATTCCCCAGTTGATTTTGCCAGTTTGTCCTTCCTTCTCTGTTGTTAGTGTTTGCTGTGTTGTTTGGGAGTAACTGGCAGACTTCCACATCCTTTTCCCCTAAATCCTAGCCATGTTCATCTCCCGTGAGCTGTGCCATTCTCTTCTGCAGCCACAGCAAATCGTTAAAGCTGAGAAATGTGAAAAATGACATCACATGATTGTTCCAGCCCTGGTCCATATTCCCAGGGTGCCCATTGCTTCTGTCCTTTTTCTGGTCCAGGACCCCACCCAGGGTGATGCTTTTGTGTCATTGTCACATCTCTTTAGTCTCCTTTATCCAGAACACTCCACAACCTTCCTCTGTTCTTCCTGCTGTTGGCACTGGGAAGCAGCCAGGCCAGCTGCTGTGGGGAAGGCTTCCCCGCCACGGTCCCCCATTCCGGGTTTGATGTTTCCTCATGCTCAGATTCTGCTCACGTGGCCCTCACTTCCCAGGGAGAACAGTCCCCCAAAAAGAGTGAGAGCCACCCAGGTGGGGCCACAAGATAGGCTGACCCGACCTCCCCCTCCCCGCCCTTCCCCCCCGACAGGCAGTATGTCCGGGACACCGTTGTGGGCAGCATGGGCCTCAAGGCCACTGGCCGGCTCTGCACCGTGGCCAAGGCGAGGGGGCTGCGGGCCTGCAGGTGAGTGGCCCCACCCCACGCCTGGCCCCAGGGGAGGCAGCGGGTGTTCACGCTGACCCCCCTACCTCCCTCACAGGGGGGAGCTGAGAGATACCATCCTGGACTGGGAGGATGCCCTGCCCGACCGGGACCTCACTCTTGCTGATGAGGCCAGCAGGTCTGACCCCCAGATGAGCTCAGGGGGGCGCGGGCAGTCGGGAGACAGGCAGACACACAGACAGCTCTTGCATGGGGACCCCAACACAGAGGTGGAGTCAGGAAAGGCTTCCTGGAGGAGGTGGCCCACGCCCTCTCTGGGCCTCACTTTCCCTGTATTAATGACAGCTCCTATGTACTGAGCCTTCTCACACACCGGGCCTGGGCTTCCCCATCCTCACCATGGCCCAAGGTGGGTGCTGTACTGCATCCATTTTACAGGCAAGGAAACTGAGGCTTTACCAAGTTCATTCTTACAAATGCCAAAATGCCACCCAGCCAGGGAGTGACTGAGCCAGGATTTCAATCCTGGGGTCCCAAGTGTAAAAGGCTTCTGCCTTCTGGGTGGGGATGTGGCTCAGGCAGAAGGGAAGCGGCAGGGGCAGGATTTTGGGTGGCTTAGAAATTGGTGCGGCCTGTGGGCGGGCCTTTAGAGCAGAGATGGGTGCGCAGTGAGCCAGCCTTCCAGGGCTGGCCTGGGCGTGTTGCAGGAGCACAAAGGGGGCCGTGAGGCAATGGGGTCTGTGCCAGGTGTGGGGGTTTTGGAGGCCCCTCAGCCTCCAGCCTCCTGGGGTAGGGGTAGGGCTGCAAAGACCCCTGGGGCGGGGCCCAGTCTGACCCCACCTTCCGACCCCAGGAACGCAGACCTGTCCATCACGCTGGGCACCTCCCTGCAAATCCGGCCCAGTGGGAACCTGCCACTGGCCACCAAGCGCCGTGGCGGCCGGCTGGTCATCGTCAACCTTCAGCCCACCAAGCATGTAAGTGCTGGGCCCACCCTGACATCCCCCCTGCACCGAGCCCTCCGAGAGCCCTCCAACGTCTGTCAGCCTGACCTGTCCCGCCTCTGCAGGACCGCCACGCTGACCTGCGCATCCACGGCTACGTAGACGAGGTGATGACCCGGCTCATGAAGCACCTGGGCGTGGAGATCCCGGCCTGGGACGGCCCCCGCGTGCTGGAGAGGGCGCTGCCGCCCCTGCCCCGCCCTCCCGCCCCCAAGCAGGAGCCTAAGGCAGAGCCCCCTGCCCAACACAATGGGCCAGCACCCACCAGCCCCAAGCAGGAGCCCAGGGCGGAGCCGTGCGCCCAGCACAATGGCTCGGGGCCCACCAGCCCCAAACGGGAGCGGCTGGACAGTCCTGTCTCGCACGGGCCTCCAAAAAAAGTGAAGGTGGAGGTGGGTCCCAGCTGACCAGGGGCCCCCGGGGGGTGGGGCTTTTGTAGAAATCATACATCCGTTTTTTTCCTGCCGATCTCACTTTATTACTTGTATCTATCTGTCTGTCTGTGGGGGTTGCAGTAGAGACCCCAGGGCGCTGAAACTTGGGCCTGAGGTCCTGGACAGACTCGCACTCCATCATGTCCCCCTTCAGCCTTTGGGGTCCCTCTAAGGGGCCTGGGACGGCGCACCCCACCCTGGATCCTGACCCTGGAGCTGACACCCCAGCCCCCGCCTCCCCACTCAGGATGTTCTGGGGAGGTGTGGCCAGGCCCTCCCTGGTTTCCAGGCTGCACAGGAATGAACTCCCTCCACTCCCTGGGCCCTTATGCTCCCCTGCCCCGCCTCCCCAGAAGCACCTATGCAGTCCCTTTGGGGGGGAAGGGAGGCTGAGCCACATTTAACAGCCAGATTTCGTGGGGGGACAGACAATAGAGGCCCCTGCACTGCCTTTGGAGCTGGAGGGAGAAATTGGTGGGTCCACCTGGTTTCTTCCAGGCTTCCAGAAAAGTCTTCAATGCAATAAAAACAGAAGTTCTTGCATCTGAGTCTGTGTTTAACCACAACCTTGCTCGAGGTCCCAGTCCCTGGGGCCAGGAGTGCGTGGTCCCCTTGGCCCCTGGGATGGCTGCCTGGGTCCGTGCAATCCAGACCTGGGAGCAAAGGCAGAGGGCAATGCTGGCATTCCTTGAGCCCAAATTTGTAATTATATGCTAACTTGTATGATTTTTTAAAAATAATCTGCCCTCCGGTCCTGGGCTGTGAGCCCCTTGAGGAAAGAGACCTGGTCTTTTGGTCGCGATTACAGCCCAGACACCTGCCCAGAGCAGGCAGAATGTCAGAGCAGAACGTCTCAGAAGAGTGCGCGCGGAGAAAGCCGGGGTCCAGCCCTCCCCAGCTGTGGTCTTGGGTAGGCCCTTCACTTCCGATGCCTCAGTCAAACGAGCAGAGTGGGCAGCCCAGACCTGCAGGAGGGCAGCTGCCGCAGACCTTCTGTGACACCCTGAAAGGGTTCGTGACGCCCTCCGCCCCCCTGCACTCCCCAAGCCTCCCGCCCCAGATCAACTGCTCCCTGCACGTCCTGCGCTCCACTCCCAACCCCCGGCAGCTCTCCGAGGTGCTGAAGATGCGCCTAGCAACCCGCGGCTGCCCCTCCAGACCAGGGTGCAAGGACCCCGCACCTCACTCCCCCATCCTCAGCTGGCCCAGTCCTTCCTTCCGGGGCGAACTCCACTTCGGTCTCTACCCCACTGCAATCTTACAATATTTTGTTCTGTCAAAATATTTTATTAAGGATCACGGCCGTCTTAGAAAAGGCTGTGCCCACCCTGAGGTTCAAATTCAGGTCGGTGCTCTGGGGCCAGGATTCCTGCAGTCTCGGTAGCTTCCTCCTCCCCGTGTGCGAGGGGCCAGGAGAGCTGTTGAGGCACGGTGTGTCCACCTGTGGGTCTGTCTGGGTCTGTGCGTCACTCTGCCTGCGTCTGCCTGTTTCCGTTTGCTGGGTCTGTGTGAGTATTTCTCAGGCTTTGTGGCCCCGGTGGCCATGGGCTGAGCATCAGTTTCCGATGTGTGTCCATCCCTGAGTGTGATGCTGTGGGTTTCTGCATCTCCATCCCGGCATCTCCGCCAGGGTCTCTGGCTCACCTCCGATCCCCGTGGCTGTCGCTGTCCACTGGAGCGTCCCTAAGCAGAGGGGCCTGGGGGCGTGTCCGGGTGGTGCTCACAGCTCCTCCCCTGCCGCCTCCAGCCCCACGTGCCCCAGGCTGAGTGCTGGCTCAGGCGAGGCCCAGTCCAGGGTGGCCCGGTTCGGCTCCTCCGTCGAGTTGTCTGGGACCAGGGTAGAGTTGTCCAGCTCCTCCGTTGAGTTGTCCAGAGCTGGAATGCTCTGGGATTCCCAGACTGCCCCGGGGAAGCCTGGAGACCCTTCCTGGGGTGGGCTGGCCTCAGGCCAAGGGCCTGGGGCCTCGGAGCCTGGTGTGGCATCGGAAGCCACCCGGGATGCGGCGTCGTTGTGCAAAGTTCTGGAGAAAACTGAGTGAGGGATGGAAAGGTGATGAGGAACGGAGTAGACGGCTGGTGATCTTCCTTTCCCTAGCTTCACGCTTCAGGGGCGACAGCAAAGGGGTCCCTTTCCCCTCCCCTTGGACACCCAGTATGGGAGCCAGGGGTGCAGCCCAGAGGGGTTTGGAGGGCGGAACATCCCTGCCCACCTACCTCGTACGGGTGCGAAGTCTCCAGGGCTCTCGGCTTTGTTGGAGGCGAAAGGGCTGATGGATGGGAGGATGATGAGGCCGAAGGACAGCAGCAGGACCTGGGGGAGATGGGGTGGGGTCACCCCATCCCACCCCCACCCTAGGGACCCAGGAAGCTGAGGCCCAGAAGGCTAGGGCTAAAGCCATGCTTCTGCCCACAGTCCCCTCCCCCCAGGGGCCCCTCTGCCAAGGCTGAGGGTGACCTTCACCCTGGGAACTGGGCTGGGGCTGGCACTCACCGCTATGCAGGTGCCCGTCTGGGCCGACTTGCTGGTGGACTGGACTACAATGGCCTGGAGTTTCTTCAGCTGCTCCAAGAGGGATCTTAGGGGCGCAGACGGGGCTTGGCTGAGCACTGCGGGGCCTCGACCTGGCTTCTGCCCACTTCCAGGGTCCCCCAGTGGGTTGAGGTCTGAATTCCTGCTGGCCTTGGAAGTCCCAGACCCTCCCGCTTTGCTTCAGTCAATCTTGAACATCCGCCCACTTCTGTGCCTCCTCCCCTCCCCCCGACAGGCCACCATTTATCACTCACCTGGAGGCCAGCCCCAGCCTCCTTCTGTCCCTCCAGGCCTCTCCTGCCCCCCTAGGGCTCATACCTCACACAATATCCACTCAAATGTGAGTGCACCTCTCCCAGCCCTCCCAGGGCCTCCACTTCCCCCAGGGTCACTGCGCATGAGGCCCTGCACAGCTTGCCTCCGTCTCCCCCCGCCCCATCTCTCCTTCATTCACTCTGTTCCAGCCACATAGGCCCCCTCACAGTCTCCAACACAGGCATGCCTGCCCCAGGGCTTTTACATGGGCTGTTCCCTCTGTACCAAGGACATTGTTCCCCTGCGTCTTTTTGTAGCTGGTTCTTATCATTCATCAGGTCTCATCCCAAATATCACCTCCTTGCCCAAAATAGCCCCCATTCACTCTTTACTGCCTTCACCTCACTTTACTTTTCTCCCCAGTGGCTATCACTATTTGATCTTCTGTATTTTTCTTTGTCTTGAATATGTCTCCCACTAGACTGTAAGTTCTGGAAGGGGAGGGACTATTTGCTTTGTTCACTTGTGGCCCCAGTGCCCAGAACTATGCCTGGTGCAGAGTAGATGCTAAACAAACATTGACCACATGGATGTGTCTGTGCTTCTAGCCTCTGGCCATTTGTATGCCCTCTCCTCTACCTGGAGCACCTTCCCCTGCAGTGAAGTCTTACACATCCTCCAAAGCCCCAAGCCTAAATCCCTCCTCTCTTCAGCCTGCCCCCTTCTAGACAGAGCCCTTACCCCCCCCATTCTGCTTTGCTCTCACAGAGGCTCTCCCCTCTCCCCACTGTGCTCCTCCTGCAAGGAACTCTGGGACCAGCTCCTCTGTCTTCTGCCCCAGCTGGACCAAGACTCACAGGTTCTGCTTCTCAAGATGCAAGACCTTCCTCTGAAGCTCCTGGTTCTGGGCACTGCAAGCTGACATCCTGCAAGGACAATGTCACTGGGACTTTCAGGACATGCCTGTCACTGACTGGCCCAGCTGACAGCTCCCCGGGAGGCCCCACTTTCCAGGTGGGGAACACCGTAAAGTCACTCTTGGTTGACATTTCTATTAGAGAAAGAGGAGCCAGTGGCCTCGGTATCCTAATGAATCAAGAGCGAGAGTTTGGGATAAAATTGGGGTGCACAGCTTTTAAGTTGGGGAAGTTCTGCCAAGAGTGAGTGTACCTTCATCCCCCCACCGAGCTCCTGTCCAAGGAAGCCAGGACAGCCCTCGGGACCAGTGACGTTTGACAAGTTGCATCTTCAGGCCGAGAGCCAGAAGAAGATGGGGCCCCGAAACAGAGCCCCGAGCCTCTAGGTATTTTCCATCCTTGCAACTCACATGAAAATGAGTCTCTCCCAGAGAGGGAAAACAGCTCTAATTTTGTCAAGCCCTAAGAACTGTGGCCTTAGCCCCATCGCATCCCTCTCTCTGGATCTCAATTTCCCTTGAGTGCCGAGTCCCGGGCCCCCAGCCTTACCGAGTTTCCAGACCATCAATATATTCCTTCTTCTTTTTCCGGCTTTCTTGGGCAGACTGTTTGTTCCGGATTTTCCGGCGAATTTTCTTCAGCACTCGCTCCTCGTACTGCACGAGGAACATAGGAGGGGCCCGGGTCAGTCCGGAGGGCCCACCTCTTGTCCCGGCCCCAGTATCTCCTCTTCCTCATTCTCTTCCCATGTGAGCCCTCCCGGACCCAGGGTCCTGGGGGGGCCGACTCCTGATGTCTTCAAGACCAGCTTGCCTGTCCCTAATTTCTTACAGGTTCTCTAGAAGGGTCTAGCGTCCTGATGGCCCTCCCAGGGCTCAAACGCAGTCAGTAACTGGCTACTGGTGCGATCTCGCCACCTCCTGGCCATCTCTGGGAACAACACCTGCCCTCGGGCCAGCTGGTATGGAGACGTAAGACCCTGTACGAGGGAGGGTCCCACCAGCTCACCTTGGTGAGGGGCAGCTGAGTGGGCAAGGTGATGCCTTCTTTGGCCAGCAGCTTCTTCTCGTCCTCTGTTAGCACCAGCTCCTGGCAATGCCCAGTCCCAGGTCGCAACAGGTGGGGGGCCACCAGGTGAGGCTGTTGCTATGGAAAAACCAGGGGAATAAATCTCGGGGTAAGGAGAGCAACAGCCTCTGAGAAATGAAAGAGGCATCAGATTTGAGCAACTACCAATCATGCGTGGTAGAGTCCCATGGGCACTGGGGCTCAGGAAGACTGGCACACGGCCCTTTGAGGCAGCAATTCCACATTCGGCAATTGATGGTACAGGTACTCTAACACATATGCAAAAGGACATACATGCAGGCTTTTCATTTGTTTAACAGTCATTTGACAGCTATGCCTTTAGCATTTCCTATGTGGCAGGCACTGTTCTGAGCCCTGAACTTCACTGCAGTGCCATCTGCAATAGGAAAGGATTGAGAGCAATGGGAATATTCAACAAATAGTGGACAGGTTCATGAAGGCATGACCCAGTTGTACCATGGAGTAGCACACAGCTGTGAAAAAGGATGCCACCCTCCATATCATCTTATGGAGTGACCACTGTCAAGTTAAAAAAAAATAAGGGGCAAAAACAGTGTCATATGTGGTGTGCTACTTTTCATGTTAAACTTTTTTTTTTTAAGGGATCTGTTTGGAAGGAGACATTCAAATGTGGGGAGCTGGGTGTCTGGGAAACGACAAACAGGAGGGTTTCTCCCTGCATATCTGCTTGTGCCTTTGGTACCTGGACTGTGTGGATACATCTGCCTATTTAAAGGTAATGTTTTTGATTTAATTTCAATTATGAATGATAAGTGTTAAGAATGAAAGAATCATGTCATCAGACTGTGAAAGTCTTAGAAATGTCACACCCTGGAATGGGAAGCTCAGGAACAGGGGTGGAGATTGGAGCAGGCTGTCATTCTACAGATCACCCTCTGGTACCAGGAATTCCAGGCCACCAGCCAGCCCAAACATTTTCTCCTCTATGCACTGATTGGCTTGTCAGGTCTCACTTATGGGTGCTCCAAACCCGTGGCAAGGTAGACAGCCCTCAGTCAGCGTGCGAGGGTTGCAATAGACCCAACAGGCCAACCCAAGGGTTGAGCCTGAAGGAGCTGTGTGACTTCAGGCAAATTACTGAACCTCTCTGTGCCTGTTTCTTCAAATGTAAAATTAAGTTCATAAGAGCCCCAGTCTTCAGGGTTGTCATGCATGAAAAGGATTTTTATCCTTTAAAAGGATTTTGGTGCATTTAAAGCATTTAGAATGTCTAACCTATTGTAGGTACTTGATAAATTTTAGTTGTTGTTGTTTTTTCTCCTCAAATATTACTGCTGCTGTAGAAAGTGCCCACAGCTCAGGAGGTAAAGAACTCAGGACTGGAACCCACTGACTTGGGTGTGACCTTGGGTAAATGCCAGGCCCTGTCTGTGACTCAGTCTTCCAGTCTCTGAAATGGAGGTATTGGGGTCGCAGAAGCCCCAGCAGAGTCCTGATGCTTCCGTGGGGTGGGCGGGCTGCTCACCAGGTCCCCGCCACTGCCAGAGAGGAGGAGGTCTTTCACTGTGAGGTTGCAGCTTGCAGGCGAGTCTGCCAGCTCGGCGCGCTCCTCCGAATACAGTCCTGGGCTCCACATTTCTGCCCAGAGCAGATGGGGACAGGGACAGGGAGGGTGTCAGGAGAGGAAACTGAGCTCCCAGCTTCTACCTGCCCCTTGCTGCGCGGTTCTCAGGATTGGCTCCAACGTGCTGGAGGGGACTGTCCGCACAGCATGGGGCCCCAAGGCCTGAGCTGAAGGGCACAGCCCCAACTGGGGCCTCAGCCTCCCCTCTACCACAGATGGGAACCCAAATTCGTCAGGATGTTGTAGGAGACCCACTGCAGACCCAGGAGGGAGCGGCCGTTATCGCCCCAGATTGCAGGCTAGGTCTGTAGCCTGATCTCTCCCTGAGGCAGGGACCAGGTCTGATTCATGTCTGGTTCCCTCCCACCTGGTGCCTGGCACACCATAGGCGTAGACGAGCTGTTCTCAAGAGCACAGACTTTGGAGTCAGATAGCTCTCGGTTTTAATCCCTCCTGGGCAGAGCTGTGTGACCTTAGGTAAGTGACTACAGCTCTCTGGGCCTCAGTTTCCTCAACTCTCCAATGGGACTAGTAAGAGCTCCCACCCCTTTGCAAGGCTCAAGGGACAAAAGGTGCCCAGCTGAGGGTGTCTTTTGCATGAGGCCTGTTCCCCAGCTCCAGGAGCAGTGCCCTGAGCCCTGGGGTCCCCGGCCTCACCTATTTTTACTGAACATCTACTAGGACCCAGGCAAAGGAGGTACAAAGATGGGCTTGCTAGTGTGACACTCAGGGCCTGAGCCAGGCTGCCAGGATTGCATCCCAGCTCTGTGACTCTCTGCTTAACCTCATGCCAACTCAGTTTCATCTGGAAAATGGGCCCACAACAGCATCCATCTCAAAGGGTGTGTGTGTGCATATGGTGCCTGGAACAAGGGGAGGAGGCTGGGTGAAGACAGGGGACTTACCCAGGTCTATGGCCACGGAGGCATCCAGCACTTGGGTCACTGGCCCAGGCAGCCTGGCAGGGCAGGGGGTGCCAGGATTGTAGGAGGGGCAGAGCCCCTTGCCAGATGGTGCAGTAAGGCAGCCAGCCAGGGTGGCGGCCGCCCCACTGCGTGGAGGGGTGTCCTGGGAGTCGGAGGGCAGGTCTTCGGAGATGCCGCTGTCACTGGCTGCAGGAGACCAGAGCGGGGAGCTGGGCACCGAGTCTCCAGAACCCAGGATGGTGTTGAGGAAATCGTCAGAGTCCCGACCCGGCAGCGCCTGCAGGGATGGCGAGGGAGACGTGGGAATCGGGAGGCCTATGCTGTGTTCAGGACGGCTGTGTGACTCTGGGAAGCCACTGACCCTCTCTAAGCCTCCCTTACCCTTCTTGCAAGATGGAAAGAGCAAACGCCCCTTCCTCCCAGAACCCAATCGTGTTGTAGCACAGGCGCACCGTCCAGCCGGGTTGAGGCACATCCCCCACCGTTTGAGTCCGGACCCAGCTCCTAACTGCTGTGTTACCACAAACAAGTTACCACCTCTCTCAGAGCCTCAGTTTCCCCACCTATAAGAAGTCGATGTCACCTGCCCCTTGGGGTCACTGAGAGGTTCAACCCACGAATGTGCTTTGCTAACATTGAGCACCGTGCCCCACCGATGCTGCAGAGCTGAGTGGGGTTCTGGCTCTGCGGCACAGGACTTGCGCAGCGGGGTCCTCACCTGGTCCTCGATACGGCCCCAGTCCTCGCCCAGCTCTACGCGTCTCAGGATGCCGTCCTGCCGATCGAACAGGAGGTCCAGGAGCTCCAGGCTGTCAATGAGGCCCACGGGACAGGCAGAGGAAGCCATCTGGGGCGAGGAGGGGGCGGGCACGAGGGTCATGGAGCCCCCTCTCCTCCCCATCTCCTGCCTGCACCCCATCCCAAGGTCCGTCCCGCTCAAGTTCAGTCTCTGCTCAGCCCCCAGGTCAGGCCTGCCGCTGCCCCTTGCTGAGCACCCAGTCTCCAAATCTGTGCTGTGGGGCCAACCCAGGACCTCCGGGCCACAAGAGCCAATTTCTCTGCAACTGCTAGACAGGTGCACACGTACGGAGAGTCAGCCTCGTCAACCCGGGAGAGGCCAATGGAACCAACCCTCTCTGGCAATTTCCATCCTGCCCAGTTTCTCCCCTCTAAGGAGGCAGGGTGCGGGGAGCCGCAGAGATAAGTGGGGAGCGGCCCCTGCATGGAGGCACGACCTCAGTCACTGTGTTCTGCCTTGCCGGGCATTGGTCTTCCCACCTGTACAGGCTGGGGGTGACCTTCCTTCATCTCTGGGAGCTAGGGGAGGGTTTCCTGGGAGAGACCTGCCCCCACTGTGGACCCGGGCAGGGCTCACCTTTCCAGCAGCTGAATCCCCATTCATGAGCCCTGCCAGCCGTGCCTCCAGCCTCTCTCTGCGTCTGCTCCGGCCTGGAGGCTCACTCCGCTGCCAAGACTCCCGCGCGCCACTGGCTTCTCTCTGCGGCTCTGTCACCACCCCCAAAACATGCTGAAATAGTCCTGGGGAACTCCCAGCCCACCCCTGGGTGCTGACTGGGGGACGGGAAAGACGGACAGGGTTAAGGGCCAGTGAGGCCAGGGCAGGCCAGGAGGAGGGGCGGGAAGACCATTATCTCGATGTTTTGTGCTTTTCCAGCCGGCAGTGGGCAAAGGCCAAAGTCTGGGGTGCCTCAGCTCTGCCATGACCTCTTCCCTACTTTCAGAGACTAGTTCTCCTCCAAGGCCCTGGACGCCGGGCTCCAGGAGAGCCGAGGGCCCCTGACCGGGTCCTGTCCACATCCAGCACAGAATAAAATCAAGAGGTCCAGCCCCGGCCTTTGCTGAAGCCGTTCCCTCTTCCAGGAGCTCCCTTCCTTCCCTCAGAGGGGCTGGCCACCCCCCACCCATCATCCAAGTTCCCCACGACAAAACCTGAGCAACAGTTCCTTCTAGAATCTTCTATCGTGCATTTATTCAATGAACACTTATTGAGCCAAACTTGTTCATACCTCAGGGCCTTGAACTTGCTGTTCCCTCTGTCCAGAGCTGCCCTCCTCTCTACCTGTGACCCTGTCACTGTGGTCACATATTCCTGAATGTTGGTATTTATGAATCAACCCAGATGGCTGAGAGGCCGTGCGTGACTGGCCCCCGGCAGAGAGGAACCCCTTCCCCATACCTTTTAACCTAACCATTGTTCTCACTGCACTTTTCACTATTTGAATTTTTCTTGTTTCTTTGTTTATCATCTTGCCTCATTCTCCCCTCCATGCCTAGGATGGGAGGGCCTTAGGGGCTAGAATAGAGTCTCTGTTGTTCTCTGCTGGGTCCCCAGTATTAAGAATCATGCCTGGCACACAGTAGGTGCTCAGGTGACTATTAAGCTTTAAACACCTCCTACGCATCAACCACTGTTTTAGGCAGTAAGTGTGAAACACTCACCAAGCTAAACTATAAACACATGAACAAATCAGTAAACAGATAATTGAGTGTCACCAAGAAACTAAACGTAAACACGGTCAAGGTAATTGAGCTCTGGAGAAGCCCCCTTTGAGAGGTGACATTTAAGTACAGTCTTGAATGATGAGGAAGAGCCAGCCACAGGGAGATCTAGAAAACAGGTGTTTCAGGCTGAAGAAACAGCCTGTGTAAAGGTCCTGGGGCAGGACCATGCCCGGCTGTGTTGGAGGAACAGTGAGGAGGCCCACGTGTCTGGAGCAGAGCGAGTGACGGGGTCAGAGGGATGAGGGGAGGGTGGGGAGGGGATGCGGCAGGTCGTGCAGGGCCTGGTGGGAGTTTGGTTTATACTAAATACGGCAGGACGCTGTTAGGAGCTTAGTGAATGGATGACTGAATCGAGCCTTCTGTACACCAGGCATGCTAGGTGCTAGGTTTACAGCAGCAATCAAAGCTCCCTCTTCACTCAGAAGAAGCGCACACCCTGGTGTGTGTTTCTCAATGGACTAGTCGTCATGCAGTCATGCAAAAGAATTGAATGTGCCGTTGATTGAAACAGTTCTTTTATCCGATGGCAGTTGCTTCACCAGGGGACACTGGGTGATGTCTGGGGACACCTGTGGTTGTCCCAACTTGGGGGTGCTCCTGGCCAGGGCATGGAGGTGGGAGCCAGGGAGGCTGCTCAAGCCCCACAAGTGCCCAGGAAAGCCCCCCAGAGAGACTGACCTGACCCCGATGTCAGCAGTGTCGAGGTGCGGGGGGGAACCTGAATAATAACTGTCCCCCTCTGGATGCTGGTATCTTTATTTCCTTCTTAGCCGCTCTGTGTTGGATTTTTAAGAGGTTTGTTTGGTTTGGCTTTAGTGATCACAGTCATAATATTTATTCAGCCTTTGCTATGGAGGCACTTTTCTAGAACAGTCATGGCGGGTGCATAAAATAGGTGAAATTTGACTTCTGGACTTCTGACTCCCCCTTCACCCCCATTTATGACTCCCAGGAGCCCTGGTGCCCTTGAGGTAGAACTCTTCCTCTTTTTATCAAAACCTGCCAGTGGAAAGGGTCTGACATTACTCCCACATACCCTCATGCAGATTTAGGCCTGGTGGTCCTCCTCCCCAAGATATTTGTAGTTCTTTTTACATTTTTATAATTGTGGACTTAGAAGGCTTTTAAATACCCCAAGTGAAGAGATATCTGAACAGTAGGATAATGACAAGCATTTGAGAGACAGGACTTCTCTGTGCCCAATGTGAAACATAACACAAAGGGGTGCTGTGGTTATACAAGATTGAGGAACACATCAATAAACAGCTTTGCAGAACTTATCAGTGCCTTTACAATGCTCTTAATGCACTCAGAGAAAACAGAGTTGGCAGCATTTCGCAAACACAGTTGTGTAGGTGTGAGTTTTGTTTTTAATCTTTATTTATTTATTGAGCCATTTCTGACTTGCGAAAATGTTGAAAGATACTCACCAAATGACTAAAATAAAAAAGATGGACATCAGATGTTGGTGGCAGAAAGACATGGAGCAACTGGAATGCTCATCCATCGTTGGTGGGAACCAAAACGGTCTAACCATTCTGCAAAACTTTGGGAAGTTAGGCAGTCTCTTATAAAGTGAAATGGGCATTTGCCATATGACTTAGTGATTTCTCTTCTGGGTATTTACCTAACAGAAATGCAAATGTATGTTCCCAGAAAGACTTGCGTGTGAATGTTCATAGCACTTTTATTCATAATTGTCCCAAACTGGAAACACTCAAATAGCCAACAACATGGGAGGGGATAAACAAACTGTTCTATCCATACAACACAATACTACTCAGCTATAAAAAGAAACAAATTACTAATACATGCAATAACACAGATGAATCACAAATGCACTGTGCCAAAAGAAAACAGTCACAAAAGATTATACACTATATGACTCCATTCATTTGAAACCCAGAGAACAGGCAAAAGTAATCTTTGGGGACGGAAAGTGGTTGCCTGGGACAGAGTGGGAAATAGAGTGGACAGGGGCATGAAATTTCGAGGGGGCTGAAAATATTCTATATCTGGTCTTTAGTGATGGTTTACACAAGTATATAGAATCCCACAACTCATCAAATTGAATACATCTAAGACCTGTGCATTATTATTATAAGTTTATTCTCTACAATAAAAGGTATGCAAAATACATAATGAACAACCACATACATAAAACATTTAGCAAAACATTAGAGACTGAAAATATCCATCAATAGGGGATTGATTAATAGAGTCTGATGCAGTCACACAATGGAATATTATGTAGCTGTGAAAATGAATGGAAATTATCTGTATGTACTGATATGGGACAATACTGAAAATATATGGTTACATCAGTGTTTCTCAACTTCTCTTTTATAATTTTTGCCCCCACAGGGAGACCTTGAAGGCATTTTTCCTAACAGCCAACCCTGTGAACTTTTAATACCATATGTATATTATATATCTGCTTGCATGGTGTATGTATATCTGTATTTATACATAAAAAGAGTAAGATATTTTGCCACCCCCTAAAAGCTAGTTTCATCTCTCATGGAGTAATGTCTTCCCATTAAAAATGCACCAATTCAGTAAAAAAATGAAGGCATAGAACACAGGATACTGTATGTGTGTGAGAAAGGGGAAAATGGATGTATATACACATTTCTTGTGTATGTATAGACTATTTCTGAAATGGGACATGAGAACCGGGGGATAGTAGTAGCCTTCAGGGATGGGATCTGGGGAGCTGGTGTAGCAGAGGAGAAAGGCTTTCCACTGTACAATCATCTACACTCTTGGAATTTTGAGCCACGTGCCTATTGTACATACTCCAAACAAAGACATACAATTCAATTTTTTAAAAAATAAATAAAACATTACAAATAAAATGAGATCATACCTTCTCCATGGTTTTCTAAGTTTGCTAGTGCAAACTTACGTTGTATTAGGGTTAGCAAGTAGGGGCTACCTCCCCTACAAAAGCAAATTGACTTGCCTGTGTCCCCAAAGCCCAGCATTCCCAGTGGGACTGACTAGCTGCCTCCCTGGAACATTCCTTAAATAAGATAATGCCTCTGTTTCACCATTTTTGCTTTTTCCTGATGTGAACATTAAAGTATCAATGATTACCAGCCAAGCCCTGCTAGGACACTGTTCCCCTATATGCACACTTTTCTCACTGGTGCTTTTTGCTTTCCATCCCTGAAATTACCTCAAGTGGTTTCTGACAATACAGAGGGAAAATGTGCTCAAAGTACTTTCAGCTAGTTCTACCTAAAGTGTGAATGGCTGATGTCAGGCTTGTATATTCCTTTTCTTGGGAACAGTCATGTTTTCTAAGGGGATTTAGAAGAATTGTAGTTCAAGTCCAGATTAACTCTTAGGTTTTTGCCCAGGGCAAAATCCTTCCCCCTCTGGTGTTAGTTAGGTATCACTAGTGCTAGTTGAAGGTGAATGGCTGCTATCAGGTAGATAAAGTCCTTTTCTTGGGAGCAGTTACATGTTTTTTTTCATGTGGCCTGAATGTACAATAACTCAAAGATTAGTTCTTAGCTTTTTTACTTCCAGGGCAAAAGTCACCCCTCCCAGATGTTACTTAGATACACCTAGATCTACTTAAAATGTGATGACTGATGTTAGGTAATCACATTATTTTTCTTGGAAACATTTACATTTTCACATAAAGCCTGAAGGAATTGTAGCCCAGATCTATATTAGCTCTTAAGTTTTTGCTCAGGGTGAATCCTTCCCTCTGTAGGTTTCAGATGTGTTCACCTGGTAAGATATCCAAAAGCTACTGGGCTCTTTGTGGAACCCCATGAAATCATGACTTTCAATTTCACATACTTAAACTAGTTTCCTATCTATAAAAGCCCAGCATCTAGTTTGGGGCATGTAGGAACTGCTCCCTGAATCTTTACTGCCTGGAGATTGCATACTGGGCCAGATTCTGGCTCAGACAAGTGTGAGTTAAAAGTCAGAAAAGACTGTAGAAATTCAAATGAGAGAACTCTGAACACTGAGAAAATGCTAACCATTTCCTTTACAGCCTGGGGACAGGTCCGTAGCAGGCATAGTGATTTAGTAGTTTAGGTACTCAGGGTTTGGGGTCAGACCTGTGTGTGAATTTGTCTTCACTCCTCACAGGTGTTACGTGAGACATGTTATGTTGTGTTGTGGTGTGGTGTTATGTGTTGTTATATGTTATGATGTTATGTATGTTATGTTATGTTATGTTATGTTATGTTATGTTGTGATGTTATGTTATGTTATGTGATGTTATGATGTTATGTGATGTTATGTATGTTATGTTATGTTTGTGTTATGTTTATGTTATGTTATGTTATGTTATGTAATATGTTATGTTGTGTTGTGTTGTGATGTGTTGTGATGTGATGTGATGTGATGTGATGTTATGAAGTCACTTCACTCCAAAGCTCTTGTTTCTATGTCTATAGAATGGGCATGTTAGGGGAGCAAGGAGTGTAGGTTTGGGGCTCCTGGACATCACTACCCCATGATGGGAGAAGCTTTCCGAGAAGGAAGGCCACCCAGAATACAGCAGAGCAGACCAAGAGTGATTGGTCTCTAGGAACAAGGTCCGAAGTCCTGGATCCAGCCATGCCTGAACTCCACTCCTTGGCTCCAGATAGGTGGCAGTAATGTGAAATGGATTCTCTTTTGGGCTTAAAAGTTTGAGTTGAGTTTCTGACCCCTGAACTGAAAAAGAAAAACGTAACTATCACCTTCCCTGATTGTTTCTGTCTCCAGGGCTTTCTCCCACCCAAACTTCACACTTGAACACATGTCATAGGGATTAGTACTTAACACACTCTCCTTAGGTGTCTTGTCTTTTCACAATTAGACTGAGTCCCTTGAAGGCAGCTCTTTTCCTGTCCCTGGGTACTACTCCAGGTGTGGTGGGTATTAAAAATATGCATCCTGGTTGTTAACAACCATTTGATCAATAAATATGAGAGATGCCCTCTCAAAAAAAAAAATATGCATCCTGAACCTGGCAAAAGAGTTCTCCCTTATTTACACATCTTTGTTATTTTTCTCCTTATTTCTTGGCAGTCAAGGGCCTGTAATTAAATCACTGGTGCTCTAATCTCATGACATGCTATTAGCATTAGTTTGTACCAACAGCCTGTGTTAAGTTTTTTACATTCAAACATAATATTATATTATCATTAAATAAATGATCAATTTATAAATAAGCTATGCATTATGATACAATTCTAGTATGTTATTATAGAATCAAATTAACATTTATGATCAATATCTATAATTAATGTCATATAGTATATTATTGTATTATTAATTATTAATATGACACAGGTATATAAGCCCTCTCAAATATTAAGTGTACAACATGAATTTTTACATATACTTGTAGATCTGTGTAAGCATCCCAGAGATCAGGACATAGAACATTCCAGCAACTTGAAGCCCCTTCCTAGCCATGACCTACCTCCAGAGATAACCACTGTTCTGACATCCTGGCATTTTTTGCTTTATTGTTTCCCCAGTATCTGCCACTCACCTTCTTCCATTAGCTCCCACTCTCATACTTTTTATCTTTCCGTGGGCTTTGTGCATGTTTCTGACAGTCTGTCAGCAAATTTCAACAGCTCTGCCTTCAAAATACTTCCATTCCTTGCCTGTTGTGTTTCCACAGTCCTGGTCCAGCCCCATGGTCACTCGGCTGGACCCGTGCATTCCCCTCCTTCTCCTTCCCCTCCTGGCTTTGGCCCTCACCCTCAACTCCCAATAGCTGGCTTGCCTTACTATGACTCCCAGGTCTTCCATGGCTGTGTCCTCCCCCTTACCACCTTGGCAGCATCTTCCCTTTTTCTCTGCTCACTCTACACTGGCCCCACATATACCAGGCATGGCCCGGCCTCAGGGCCTTTGCACTTGCCATCCTCTTTTTCTGGAATCTTGTTTTCTGGATGTCCTTGTGACTGGCTCCTTTCACCTTTAGAGCTCTGCTCCAATTCACCTCCTCCTTGAAGCCCTCCCTGACCACCTTCTTTAAAATTGCAACCCCTCCCCCGGTCTCCATCCCCCATCCTGCTTTATATTTCTTCATAGAGCTTACCATCATTTGACACACCACATACTTATTTATTGAAGCATATATACATTCAACAAACACTTACTGAAGTGTCTATTCTGTGCTAGGTAGAGGGATACATCCAGGCAATGTAAATATTCATTAGTTATTTCATTCAGCAAAAATGTCCTTTGCTCCTCCCCTATATTAACATTGTCCCAGTGCTTAAGTAGTCAGAGAGAGGAAGGGGTGTCGGGTGGAGAGCTAGAAAGTCCCCAGCTAGGATTCATCTACAAAATAGGCATAATCATCATGACGAGACCTTTGTGTAGTATCCCCCAGGGACTGGCACACGGTAGCTGCCCAATCAATATTTGTGGAAAGAACAACTGAACAAGTATAAATATAACTGTAGAATTTAGTAAATGGTTGACAAACAACAGCCGGCGGGCCAATTCTGGCCCTCTGCTTGTTTTTGTAAATAAAGCTTTATTAGCACATAGAGCTAAGGGCTGCTTTCATGCTACAGAGGTGGAGCCGAGCAGTTGCAGGAGAGAACCTGTGGCCTGCAAAGCTGAAAAGATTTACTATCTGGCCCTTTCAGAAAAAAAAATTTTTTTCTGTAATCCACATGTTTAGCAGATAGATCTGCTTGCCCGATACAGGAACCGTGTCCCATATAGTTACTGACCGCTTGAAGTATAAAGACTGGCTGAGCAACTGGATTGTGCATTTTATTTCACCTTTATTAATTTACATTTAAAAATCAATACTCAATCCAGTCCATGGGCAACTTTTGAGTATATACACATATGGAACAACTTGGGTATGTGAATCTCCATTTTTAACTGCAAATTTCACAAATTCTATGGACACAGATGAAGGATTTCTAATGAAAATTTAGTGCCCACATGGAGAGATGTTGTAAATGTGAAACATGCCGTTGGAAATCTAAGGCTTAGTATTTCAAAAAGTGAAATAGCAGTAATTTTGATATTGGTTACATGTGGAAATAATAAATTTGGATTTTAATCAATCATTTGGATTAACAAAACAGATGACTGAGATGAAACTTAATTTTACTCTGTGATTTATAAATGTAGCTTCCAAACATTTCTGAACAGTACAGATACTTCTAGCAGACAGCAGTGGATGACAGCAGGGCCTGGGTTTGAATCCTGGCTCTGCTGCTTGACGAAACTTTGTGACCGTAGGCAATGACTTTGCTGCTGTTGTCTCAGTTTCTTTATCTGTCCTATGGACGAAAAAGGACCTGCTTCACTGAATCACTGAGGGGATTCGAGACATTAAAACACGCCACATATTCAGGTGTCAAAATCTGTCTTTATGGCTGTTACTATTATTATGAGGATGTGTATCTGTCAGAATTACGTTGCTCACCAGCCCCATGACCTGCGGCGGATACCCGCTTGCTGCTTTCCGGGGGCCCCAGCCCTTTGGCCTCTGCAAAGCCTGGCCATAAGACAGTCCCCGCTTTGCACAGGAGGACGGGGGGCTAATAAGGGGTTGTGAGTCATCCTGGCCAATCCATGAGTCAGCCGCAGTTGAGACAACGCCCAGGTCTGCCGCTCCAGTCCAGGGCTTAGCCCTTGTCACTGTGCCACCTCTCCTCTGCTTGCCCTTCTCACTTGAGTGGACTCCCTCTACTTCCCTTTATGGTCAGTTTTGGGGGAAGAGGCCAGGGGGCAGCAGCTCCTTGGCCAACCCCCTCCCTCCCCCCTCTCGTTCTCCTCCTCTCCCTCCTCCTTCTCCGGGACCCTCCCTTGGGGTATGACCAGGCCAGGCAGTGAGTAAAACCCTCGTGCTACGGGTGTGGCAGAGCCAGGCCAGGGGCTGGTGCCCAGGGGGACTCTGACCCACCTCTTGGGCAACGCCAAGTGATTAGTGCCAGCTCCTCCCGGCTGCTCCATCCTCTCTTACATCGTGTGCTGAAGCCTGTCCAGGAAGCTGGGGCTTGTGGGATGTGGGTGAAGACAGGAGACTGGAACCAGGGTCTCTGAAGACCACCTTGTGGGGAGAGCCTGGCCGAGGGTGGGCCCCGTCTGCCCTTCCTAGAGAATGAAGGACATTATGCCTGAGAATTCTGATGATTGGTTCACTCATTCATTCCTGCGGCCACTCTTTATTGAACACCTGCTGTGTGCTGGGCATTAGGAACACAGCAGGCTTCGTGATGGACCAGTCATCCCCCACTTCCTTCCCTGGTGAAGCTGACCTTCCAAAGGCCGGAAACGGATGCTAAATAAGATCATTTGTACATACACAAGTAAACAAGCTAAACGAAGACACCATGCATGAAAAATAAAGCACGACAGAGAGAGGGGGGTGTGAAGCATGACTTGTAATTTCATATGAGGTAGTCAGCGAGGCCTCCCCACATAGCCCCGGAGTTGGGGGGGACGTCAGGTGACAACGTGGGAGGAATGTTCAGAGCAGAGAACAGTCTATATATCCAGAGGCCCTAGGGCAGCAGAAACACCCAGGAGCACCTGGGGCTGGAGGGGAGTTCGGGGGAGTGGGGGGCAGGGAGGTGACTGAGGGGCTTACTCCAGGTGAGAAGGCTGTTGGCCAGTCCTGCGATGGCTCTAGAAGTTTCTGCGTGGGCTGGGAGGATGTGTGCATGGACAGGGCTGGGAGGCCCGGTGTGGCAGGGCTGCTGTTCAAGCCTGGTGTGTCTGGACCTCGCTCTTAGCCAAGCATAGGAAGGTGGCCCCCCGGCCCTGGAGAGTGGGTGGCCCCCGGGGAAGAGCCCCATGAGTGCCTTGAACCTAGACCAGCAAACAGAGCTGGCCCCCCACCCCTCTGGCTGTCCCCACCTCTCCCTGCCTGTCTAGCCAGCATCTCATGCAGGTGGTTGCTTTATGGCTGGTAGGTCCAAGGGTCACAGCGGACCCTCTAGGCGGTAGAGGGAGGCCCCCATTGGCGGCAGAAGTGCCCACCTCTGCCTTCCTGTTGTGCGGGCGGGTGGAGATGGAGGCGGGTGTACCCTTGGGCTCCAGCCCGTGGGGTGGCATTTCCTGGTCTCCAGATCCTGATTTCATCCCGGCACTTCACCCCTCCCCTTCTGAACAAGTTTGCCGGGGCTGCTGAAACAACAGAAATTCATTATCTCACACTTCTGGAGGCTGGAAGTCCAAGATCAAGGTGACTTTCTTGGCAAGTCAGGAGCAGAACAGCTGCTTATGTTGACTCTCTAGTGGGAAACCTTCTGAGGCCTGTCTCTCTACCTCTTCTCACTGTGTCTCTGTGTCCAAATTCCCCCTTTTTATAAGGATTAGGGCCCACCCTAAGGAGCTCATTATAACTTTTTTTTAATTAAAGTATCATTGATACACCATCTTGTGTTGGTTTCAAACATACAACCCAGTGGCTCAACAGCTGCCCATATATTAAATCTTCGCCCCCTCTAGCGTGGACCCTATAAATGCAGTGATATGTTATAGAACTGACCTCATTAGAACTTGATTACCTCTGCCAAGACCCAGCCTCCAAATACAGTCTCATTCTAAAGCCCTGGGGTTAGGACGCCAACATGTGAGTCTGGGGCAAGGGGGACACAATTTTACCCACAACACCTTCTCAAAGCTGTTATGAAACCCAAACCTGGTGGTCTCGGGTCAGTGTCATCTCCTGAAGAAGTCACCCCCACCCTCGACCCCCCCCACCCCTGTTATTCTAGCTTAACTTCTGGGGGCACTCTGTCGATCTAGCGATGGCATTTGTTCATGCCAGGGAGTGGGGACCTGTCTACTTTGGTCCCTGATGTGCCCCCACACCTGAGAGAGTTTCCCCCATCATCAAAGCGACTTCAACCATACTGTGGAGTGACCCCTACAACCCAATGTGAGACCGTGCATCCCAAGATAATCAGGTCTGCTTGCAGCCAAGTTGGGATGTCAGCCGTATCGCTCGCCAGTTCAAAACTTGTCCACATTGTGCACAACTGCTTTCCAGACTGGATGCCGACAGACTTCTGTCCTACCCCCACCTCAGCAGTGAACGTGGCTGTGACATCATCAAGTCACTTCTACCCTCTAAGACTCTATTTTTCCCCCCTCCCCTGAAACGTGACAATTGATCTAAAGGTTATATAAAGCCCCCGCCGGATCAAACATCAGGGTTAACGGTTAATCCTGAGGAAATCGGAACAGGAGCAACATTGGATTGGACTCACGAGCCACAGATGGTTTTGCTCCTTCTCGCTGGGGACAAGGCTGTGCCCAGCATTTCCGTCACGTAGCAGACAGAAACCCCCCCCAAGTGCTCTCAGATCCCCAAGACTTCAAATCTCCAGGCGAGAGTATGTTTGAAAAGTCACCTAGCCTGGTATATACAGCCACCTTTGACAGAATTGAATAACATTTATTTTTACATTGTATTTATCTTCACAATTATTTTCTGTGTGGGGCGTCTGATTACTGGTCTCAATTTACCATGGTGTTACTTACTGAGGGTCTTTCCAAAACAAATTCATGGAAGGAAAAAAAGCACAGTGTAATAGTGCTGAAGATTGTATGAACCTTCCTTCCTGCCACACGTCTATCTTAAAAGGAAACATAACGTTAGGTTTGGGAACATTATAACAAATTTTAACAAATTTATAACATCATAACAAAACTTTAAAAAAGAAAAAAAAAACAGCATCAGGTGCTCAAAATAGATGCCAAGGAAAAGAATGTCATTAAATTCTAGGCAGATACTACTGCCTGTAGAAGGTTCTGGATTAGGTGACTCCAAAAAACAGATTAGTAAATAGGTATTAAAGGTGCAGCAGCACCCACTTTGCATGTTCCCGATATACTCGGAAGGTTTAAAAGAGGGCTGAAAAGGAAGCAATTTCTTGCCTTTCATTAGATTTATTTTTTAAGTGCAGTCTGCAGGGAAGCATGCACGGAGCACTTACTTGGTGCACTGAATTCCCCCAGCACCCCACACTCGTGGACTTTTTTTTTCCAGGGAACAATGCTATTCCTCCAACAATGCTAGGCTCAGCTGCTGGGTTGAAGTGCCCAATCTAGTCAAAGCCACAGCTAATATTTATTGTTCCCTTGCTATTCCAGGCACTGTGCTCAGGACGCAAATAAACTTCATCCTCCAGGAATCCCAGTGAGTGGGGGATTTTGTCCTGCCTATTTTACAGATGAGGAAACTGAGGCTCAAGGGGGGCCTGTCCCTTGCCCACAGTTGTGCAGCTTGTAAGAGGTAATGCTGAAATTCAAGGCGATGATGCTAAGCCCGAGCTGCCCCTGGGCGGCAGCGGTCATGGCAATGTCAGGAAAGATGCTCGGGGCTTTGTGGCGTCATGCAGCACAGAGGGGATGTTATGCTTACAGCTCTCTGGGTTCAATTGCAGCCCCTTCTCTTGTGAGCTGTGTGACTTTGTGCAAGTTACTTGGCCTTTCTGTGCCTCAGCTTCCTCCTCTCCCAAATAGGGATGATAGTAAAGATCCAGTGAGCTCCTACACACAAACAGTGGCATAACAAGGGTACAGTGAGGGGAGCAGCCCACCCCAGGTCTAGCAACAAAGGGGAGCATTGTGTATAGAGAATTCAAAGAAAATGGTAGTAAAACCTCTTTAATTATTTGCTTTTTTATTGCCACCAGTTCTGAACAATGTCAGTAAAAAAAATCATCTTCCCCCTAGGAAATCTTTCATTGGTCTGAACCAGGGGGTCAACAAACTTTCTGTAAAGGGCCAGATAGTAAATATTTCCAGCTCTGTGGGCCAGATGGCAGCGACGCAGCTTGCCGCTGTGCCACAAAAGCTGCCACAGACAGTTCAAAAATGAATAAGTGGCTGTGTGCCAGTAAGCCTTTATTTACGGACCCCAAAACTTGAATCCTATATGCTTTGCACATGTTGTGAAATATTATTGTCCTTTTTTCTCCCCCCCACCCAAACTGGTTAAAAAACCAGCCTCAGCCCCTGCTATGGACACTGGGATGCCTTTGGCTTCCAAATCCTAGTTTGACAACTCCTGCTGTAAACAACTGCTGTGGTTACTGTTGACATTTCATAGTGGGAAGCCTTGAATTTGCACATTTTTATTGTTTATCCTTTAGTAAACATTGCATTATACTTGGAAATGAGTTTGGAGAACTCCATGCTGCACATCCGGCCCAGACCACAGACTCAGCAACAGCCTCTCGAGGTTCATTTTGCGAGTCAGTCCTTAACAATTCCCGATCTTTTGAGTCCTATTGGGGAACGGTTTGTGTTTCCAATCATGGCAGTGTTACACATTCTTGTGTTTAAACAACGGATTCAAAATAAGCCGTGTCAGCCCAGTGATTTGTAAATGCAAAGAAATAGAGTTGGAGCCACTTCACTTCTTTTATTGTATGTGACCATTTGGAGAGTCTATTTGTGTCTGAAATTTTAAATAGCATGCCAAACTGAAAATAATACTATTTTTGTTTGGTAAACTCCAATCTTAACTCAAACATGGAATGTCTTTACTGAATTTGAGCCACAGCGTTAAAACGGAGAAATCTCCTTCCTCTCAATTGGTATTTTTATTTGATCATTTACTTATCAAACTGTTATTATTTATAACTGTGACAGACCAGTATATAAAGTTCTTCTTTAAGAAAAATTCACTGTATAAATTAGGCACGATAAGAAATTAACAAAATAACAGTAAAGTAGAACAATTACCACCATATGCTGCGACTAAAAAATTCACTAATGAAATCAAAAGGTATTTATTCATTACTTTTTTCCCTTTATTAGACTGTCATGTTTATTTTGTGTATGTTATTGGCATGTGAACACTGTGATTATATATATGATGTCCAATAAAAGAAAAACTGTCACTGTATTTCTTTTCTGGTCATTACTATTATTTGTTGCTTTTGATAATTATTATTGAAACTTCTTTGCCATATACTGTAGAGGAGGGGATGTTAAAACAAGTTCTACTCCGGATGTTCAATGTCCAACATAAGCCGCTGCATTTAAGCACTTAATACACTTAATACCTAGTAAGTGTCAAACAAATATTTACTATAATCGATACCCCACTGACCAACTACGCCCCCCTCCACATGCTGTCTTTGTACTGCCTGAGAGCTAAACTGGTTTTTACATTTTTTAATGGTTAACAAACTATAGAAAACAATTATATCGTTGACACAGGAAAATGGCATGAAATTCAAATTTCAGCTTCCAAAAAGAAAATTTCATTGGCCCGCAGCTCCGCCCATTTGTTGAGGTGTTGTCTGTGTCTGTTTAGGGGCTAGTAGACTAGAACCGAGCTGATGTGACCGAGACACTGTTTACGTTAATTGCTATTTGGCCCTGTTAGGAAAAAGTTTGCAGATTCCTGATCTAATTTGTCAACCCCTCTCCTTCAAGCCTCCAACTCTGGAAGCACAGACGGGCCCTCCAGGTTCAAGGCCACAGACCGCCCGCCTTGTCTTACAGTTGCCCAGCATTAGCCAGGAAGAACTCCCCGACCCCGCCCTTCCCACCCAGACCAGGCCTGATCCGCGCGCGCAGCCCCCAAGGGACTGAGGTCAGCGTCCCAGCCTGTGGCGCCCTCTAGTGGACCTTGTAAGCAACTGCCTTCTGAGCCTACTGTCCCCGCTGCCTGGCCCCTAACCCAGGGAAAGTGAGTTTTCTGTAGGTCCCCTCCTTGCCCAGATTCTTTCCCCTGCCCCCGGACAAAGTCTCCCGGGCTTCCCCCTCTGGCGACCGGCTCCTGCTATTCCACCACGCTTTACACGCATGAAAGGCTGTCACAGGACTAAATCACAGTCCGCGGGTGTCAAAGGCATCCACAAATTTGAACAGCACTGTGACTTTCCAAAGACCCTTCACACCAACTCCCAATCTGCGCTTTTTATCTTTATGCCTTTGCATTTATGTAGCTTGTCTCTCTCTGTTCCCCCAGAGTATTTTGACCAGCATCATCTCATCTGACGTCTGCGGGGGCTGGCTGGTATTTCCCAGCAAAGAAATAGAAGGTAAGAGAAAGAAGGTCGGCGCTATGCTCAGGCTAACTGAGAGTGGGTGGCACCCAAAACAGAAAAGCTCTGGCCGCTGAGAGCAAATGACGTTCCTGTCTTGTCGAACTCCGTGTTCAATGACATCACGTGGGTAACCTGAAATCGGCCACGTTGGGGAAATACTGTTTATTTTACTTGTTTGTGGCCTATTTCTCTCCCCCCAGATCGACTCCACGAGAGCAGGGGTTGTAATGAATTCACTGTTGTGTATTAGCTGGCGCAGAGTAGGTGTTCGATAAAGATTTGCGGAATGAATGGACTAGTATGTTTGTTGAACGAAATAAAATCTTAAGAGAAAGTATTTACCTTAGCTTGATAACAAAGAACGTGGGCATGTTTCATACCCTGAATGCCACGCAGTGTAAACGATGCCACCATGCCCTAGATCAGGGGTTGGCAAGCTATATAGCCCAGGGGCCAAATCCAGCTTACTGCCTGTGTTTGTCTGATCTGTGAGTTAAGAATGATTTTTTGTATATTTCAAATGGCTGGAAAAAAAAAAAAAGAATATTTTCTGGACTGAAAATGATATGAAATTCAAATTTCAGTATCAGTAAATAGTTTTATGGGCACACAGCCACACCTATTTGACTACATATCGTGTATAGTTGCTTTCCTGCTACCATGGCAGAGCTGAGTAGCTGTGACAGAAGCCGCTGTCTGGCCCTAGAAGCAAAAAATAGTTACTATCTTTTACAGAAGATGTTTTTTTAGAGCCCTGCTCTAGCATCAAATGAGGAAATCATGTCCCCAAAGGGGAAACTGAGGCCCAGAGGCTTGAAATGAGTTTGTCAAGACCCTACATTTCTGAGGGACTCATCATGTGCCCAGTCATCCAAACAATGTCTCAAATGCTTTACAGGAAACGCAGAAATCGGATTGACAAATGAATACCTCCATAAATTGAAGGTCACCGGGGATATCGGCCTTGAGAGAAATCTGTACACACCCAACTGATCTTGCCAAGCCCTGGATATTTTTAATTGCCCCTGTAAAAAAAAAAAAAAAAAAAAAGTCACTGCTCTTTCCAGAAACCTTGAGTTTGGGACTTTGATCGGAGTGATTACAACATCACATCAAAACCCCATTTTGACTTGATCTCCTTGGAAGGATTTTATGACTACAGTCTGAAGTTGGCGGCATGAAGGTGAGGACTCGTGGTTGCCCGGGGCGGGGAGGGTGGGACGGGCGCTGACCGCCGATGGGGCCGGGGTCTCTTCCTGGAATGATGGAAGCATTCTGGAAGGGGATGGCGGACACAGCCGCGCGTCACAGTGATATGCTGAAAACCGCTGAACTGCACACTTTAAAAGGGTGGGTTTTACATGACATACACTACGTCTCAATAAAGAAAGAATTTAAGAAGACAGTGTCCATCGGTTTATTACTGAGTAATAAATTGAAATTGGCCACGGTGGAGAAATGCTGCTTCTCGTACTTGTATGTGGCCTATTTCTATTGCACCAGACCGACGCCGTGAGAGCAGGGACTGCAGCTAATTCACCGTCGTGCATTAGTCGGCGCGGAGCACGTGTTCCATAAAGATTTGCTGAATGAATGGGCTGCAAGTCACGTACAGCGTGACCACTGTAGTCAACAATACTGCCCTGTATACATGAAAGCTGCTAAGAGAATAGACTTTAAAAGTTCTCATCACAAGGAAAAAAAATGCAACTGTACGAGGTGATGGATGTTCACTAGATAATGTGATCTTTTTGCAATATAGACATACAGCAAATCATTGTTGTACACCTGAAACTAATATCATGCAATGTCAATTATATCTCAATTAAAAACAATCAGCAACAACAATAACATAAAAGCAGGTAAAAAAAAAACAACAAAGAAACTCTAGGAATGGCATCCCAGACATGGACCTCTGTGTTTTTGTGCATTCTAGTTCCCAGCTGGTGCCTTCTGTCCCCACTCACACCCTGTCCTCTCTCGGACTAGCTAAGTACCTGGTCTGACATTGATGCAGGGAAGGAGAGCAAGACATGTTTGTCGAATAAAGTAATTAGCATCTATATTCCCTAGGATATGTCTCTCTGCTTGGCAGAGAGCAGACAATAAATGTTAGTTGAATGAATGCATGCTGTGGTGGGACATCTCAGCTCTCCAATGTATAAAGGCAGTGGTGTGCTGGTCCAGTTATCAATTGGCTCTCTGAGGAAGAGAATTTCATGTATCTACTATATCATATATATTGCATGCATGTAATACATATGCATTACATAATGTGTATTCTTTATTATGAATGTTACAGACATAAAGGGTGTATAGTCTGAAGTTTACAAATAATAATAAAATATACACTACTCTATTTTAAATTCTATATAGCCACTTGAATCTCAAAATAGGTCTCCATGGCTGCAAATAACAGAACAAGTGCAGTTCTGAAATGAATGTTGATATTTTCATTTGTGTTAATAAGTAACATGAAAGTGAAGACATTTGTTCATGGGTAACCTGAAGGTCCTCTTTAATGAGTCAGATAATAGTTTTTGAATACTGGGAAAACCATTTCCCCATCGTTTTGGGTGCTATGTGCAATTTCACAACTGGAGACACAGCACATTTTAAAGTTTAATCCGCATGAACTTCTCTTCATTACTTTTTAAAGGCCTAAACCAGGAGTTAACACGCTATGACCCTCTGCCTGCCTGTCCTTGTAAATAAATTTTTATTGTCGTACACCCATTTGGTTAGCAGTGTCTGTGGCTGCTTTTTTTCTACAATCAGAGTTGAGCAGATGCAAGAGAGACTCTAGGGCCCACAAAACAAAAAATATTTATTATCTGACCCGTTACCAAAAAGTTTGTTGACCCTTGATTTAAACAACCCAAAATCAATAAATCAAGCCTTCATTTGTAGCATTTGCCAGTTTCCACGGTGTAAATCCTCTCACATGGCCCATTTCAAGCCGCCAATGTGACGAAAAATATACAGAAGTGACTACCACCATATACTATTTCCACCAGATGTAGTAAGGAAAATAATGAAAATAGGTGAAAATGAAATTAAAAGCATCCATAGCAGCAAAATGTAATATAATTAGCTGATGATGTTTTAAGCATTTATTTCCTTTTGAAAAAATCAAGATGAGATGCACATAACAAAATTAACCATTTCAAAGTGAACAATTCAGTGGCGTTCAGTACATTTACAATGTTTTGTTGACCATCGGCTCTATCTGATTTCAAAGTATTATCTTCACCCCGAAAGGAAACTCAGTGTCCATTAGTGATTGTTCCCCTCTCCTGGGCCCCACCATCTACTCTCTGTCTCCGTGGTTTTAACTTCTCTAGGGACTTCCTGTGAGTGTATTCAGACAGGATCTGTCTTTTCATGCTTGGTTTATCTCACTGAGAACAGTGTCCTCAAGTTTCATCCACTCTGTAGCAGGGGTCAGAACCTCCTTCCTTTTTAAGGCAGAATAACATTCCAGTGTATGGACAGACCACATTTATGTTACCCTTTCACCTGTCAATGGACATGTGTGTGGCTTCCACCTTTTGGCTGCTGTGAATAACACTGCTCTGAACATAAGTGTATAAGTATCTGTTTGAGTCTCTGCTTTCAATTCTCTTGGGCACATATCCAGAAGTGGAATCATATGGTAGTTTTGTTTAATTTTTTTGAGGAACCACCATATTTTCCCTGGTTTTTGTTGTTACTGTTATTTGTTGATTTCCAATTTTGAAATGATTTTAGGCTCACATAAAAGTTTCAAAAAATAGTACAGAGAGTCTCCCAGCTTTCCCCAAAGACAACATCCTATGTAACCATAGAACCATCTCAAAACCAGGGAATTCACAGTGGTACAACTAACATTCTGATTTCAGCAGCTTTTACATGCACCCATTCTTCGCTGTGCGTATAGCTCTATGAAAACGGTCACATTCAGATTCGTGTAATCACCACCATAATCAGAATACAGGACATTTCCATCACCACAAAGACAATCTCCATCATAGGTACAACCTTCTCCAAATCCTGACACCTGGAAATCTCTGATCTGTACCCCAGTGATGTCCTTAAAAGAGCGTCATTTCAATGGTATCATGCACTGCGCACCTTTGCAAGACTGCCACTTTTTCTGATAGCATAATGCCTTTGAGATTCACCCAAGTTGGGCATATGTATTCACAGTTTGTTCCTTTTAATTACTGAGGATATAGTCTATTGTGTGGAATTCATCCACAATTTTAATTCATTTCATACACAAGTTGTTTATCAGTTCATCCACTGGGGGAGATATTTGGGTTGTTTTCAGTCTCAGTCTATCATGTTCAGGTTTTGTCTGGACCTAAGGGTTCATTTCTCTCGCGTAAACACCCAGGAGTGGGGTTGCTGGGTTATACGGTAACTGTGTGTGTTTAACTTCTGAAGAAACTGCCAGTGGAAACTGCTGTATTCCACTTTGGTGTTCCACCAGCAACATGCAGAGTCCTGGTTGCTCTGCATCCTTGGTATTGCCAGCCCTTTTCATTTGAGCCATCCTAATAGTGTGGTGATATCTCATTATGGTTTTAATTTGCATTCTTCCAATGGCCAATGATGCTGAGTTGTTTTCATTTTATAAGAACAGTGCTAGACAGTTTCTGCAACTTTGTGTTTCTAAGACTTGTTAATGTTGTCATTTGTGTTTTCTGCTGCTTAATATTTCTTTGTGGGACTACACTAGAACACACCTTCCCATTCTTCCATCAGTGTCGTACTTTGCTGTTGTAGTAAACTGTGTTAGTTTCCAGATTTTCGCCATTGAGAACCTTAGTGTACATGTATCCTGGTCATACAAGGGCAAGGATTTCCTAGGTCATGCGCCTAGGAGTAGAATTGCTGGATCACAGGAATTCTAGGTTGTGCTAAATTGCTATCCAAAGGGGTCAGGTCAGCCATTCTTTTCATTAATCCGTTGCACAGGTGAGAGATAAAGGTCAGGGTGCATTCTGAGATAGGAAGAATGTGCACATGTGGTATTGATACTAGATTGTGTCTAAACAAGATAAATGTCACCTTGGATTGAATCTATCAACAAAGCTATTATTAGAAACTTATTTCCAGGGTGGGAGGAGATTTAAGAGGCACCCAAGTCTCTGGGACCAGGGAACAGATATACTAAGAAAGATGTGATTGGAACCAATGATAAGTAGAGAGATATGTACCAGGGAGAGATTGCACAGCAAAATGTGTTCACTGGCAAAGATAGAGAAGAGGGCAGAGTCTGTACTGTAACTTAACAGTAAGAGCTCATGTTCTAGAACAAGCACTGAGAATCAGGTGATTAGCAGGAAAATTGTCTCCCTCAAGATTGGAATACCCCTTTCATTCATTCAAGTACCATGCATGTATGAAACTGCAGCTATATCCAAAGAGCTGGACTGGGAGAGAGAGAGATAAATCCAATATTCTCCTTGCCCGCAGAAAGTCCATCACTAGAATGGAAGGCATAATGAGTGAGCAGCAATATAAGTCAGAATGAAGCAAAAACCATAAGCCAGAAACAAGCAGGGTGAACCAGAAATTCCAGAAATGGGGAACAGGTAGCAACTAGGAGAATCAGACTTTATGGAAAAGGTGGAAGAGGGGGCATGTGAGCTGAGCTCCCAAGAGGGAACTAAAAAGAACTGACAGTTCTGGTCATCAGAAAAGATTTGATCTCTTTCTTCTCCTGGAGAAGAGCTAATTTACTGTTCCACAGGAAGGGCAGTCCCCCAAATATATGGAATATTATTCAGCAAGGAAAAAGAACAAATTCTCGTTAGTTGCAACCACATGAGTGAATCGCATTGTGCTAAGGAAAAGAAGTTGGACCCAAAAGAGTACCTACCATACAACTCCATTTCTAGAAAGCTCTAGAACATGAGAAACTAATCTATGGGGAAGCAATCAGAATCTAGGGTATCTGTGGGATTGGGGTGTACTGAAGCCAGCTTGTCCTGGCTCATAGCTGCCTATTCTTACCATTCTTTGCAATGTCATGGCTGCTGGAAATCAGCCATGCTGGGAATATTTACACTACAAAAAGATATGGGGTGGGGGCAGATACTACAAATTGAAAATCAGCCTCTCTCTCTCCCTGTCTATCTCTGTCTCTCATTTCAAAATCTCATAGTTAAACAGTTACCAGCACATCCCTGCTGTCTGGGGTGAGGGGGTTTCACAGGGAAGAGCCCTGAAGAACCATTCTAGAGCGATGGAAATGTTCTACAAGTTGTTTCCTGGAATGGTTACGTGGGTACACACAACTGTAAAATTGTAAGCTGAAGGGACTGTAGATTCAAGAACTGTGCATTTACTATACAGAAATTAGAGCTCAAACTATAGCTCGATAAAAAGGCTATATGTATATATAGCCTAAAATAAAATAAAATGTCAGAAAGATCACTTTGCAGAACAGAAGGAAGGTAGAAGAAACACACAGAGCTGGGAAAGACCATGGCATTATTGGAAACCAGATGAACATTCTCCCTACTTCTGGGTGAGTGGTGGGAGCAGTGAGAGGAAAAGCTTTTAAAAAGGCTCACATTGGAAAGACAAGTGCCAAATGATTTCACTCATTTGTGGAGTATAATAACAAAGGAAAACTGAAGAAACAAAACAGCAACAGACTCAGGCTCCAAGAAGGGACTGGTGGTTACCAAAGGGAAGGGGTTGGGGAGGGTGGGTGGGGAGGGAGGGAGAGAGAAGGGGATTAAGGGGCATTATAATTAACACTCACAATATAGGCAGGTCATGGGGAAGGCAGTACAGCACGGAGAAGACAAGTTATGACTCTATCGCATCTTACTACGCTGATGGACAGTGACTGCAATGGGGTTGGGGGGGGTACTTGGTATTATGGGGTGAATGTTGAAACCACAATGTTGCTCATGTGAAACCTTCATAAGATTGTGTATGGATGATACCTTAATCAAAATAAAATAAAATAAAAAGGCTCACATTGTAGAATCCCAGGAACAGGCATGTCTGGGAGCAGTTTTACTCAGGCGAGAGCTATAGTTACATCTTTGCCTTCTTAGAGAATTGTGACATATTACAATTATGTATATGTATCTTATGTATCTATTTTTAAACATTGTATCTCTGATGCTCAGCCCAGTATCCAGCACTTAAAAAGCATTGAAAACTGTCAAAAGAATGCCTGAGGGGCAGCTGGACAGGAAGTGGGCAAGACTGAGCCCGGGAGACCAGGCAATTTGGGCTGGACCCTGATAGGGGGTATTGATTGAGCATCCCAAGTGGTTCCCAAAGGTGCACCGCACATGAAATGTACATGGGTTATCATAGATGTGACAAAAGAAAAGCAATGTGGTGAATTTTTCTTAAAGTCAACTTTTTCCCATTCAAATGTCCTTTATTCTGTGCCATCACTTCCTTTAGTTTTTTGTTTTTTTTACTGCTGTTAAAATGACCTTTCTCATAAAATCATGCAGCCACTGTGGAAAGCAGTATGACGGTTCCTCAAAAAATAAAACATAAAACTACGTTATGATCCAGCAATTCCATTTCCGCATAGATACCCAAAAGAACTGAAAGCAGGGATTTGAACAGATGTTTGCACATCCGTGCTCTTAGTAGCAGGACTCCTAACAGCCAAAAAAGGTGGAAACACTCACATGCTCATCAATGGATGAATCGATAAATAAAACGTGGTGTCTTCCTACAATGGAATATTATTTAGCATTGAAAAGGAAATTCTGACACGTTACAATTGGATGAACCTTGAGAACTTTATGCTCCGTGAAATAAGTCAGACGCAAAAGGACAAATCCTGTATTATTCAAAAGCAACATTCAGTTGACTAAATTTGAAGATCTCATTGGCTTTATTTAATGATTCATGAATCAGGCCAATAGAAAGAAGCCCCAAAGACTCGTACAAAATAAAGGGCTTGTCTCACACCCTAGATCGTTTTAGGAAATTTACCGTTCCTTTGGGGAAAGGTGGGAGGGTCCATCAGACAGATTACCTTACTAGAGCTAACTAGGTAATTCCTGATTGACTGATTAAAGCTTACATTCCTGGAAGAGGCCAAACTGCAGTTAAGTCAGGTATTAAGTCTTAGTTTGCCCATGGGGGGTTTGGCACAACTGACTCCATTTTGACCCTGTCAATTCTTTAACATTATGATTCTAATTATATGAGGTCCCTGGAGGAGTCGATTCATAAAGACAGAAAGTAGAGTCATGAGTGCCGGGGGCTAGGAGAGGGGAGAGGGGGGTTAGTGTTTCACAGGGACAGAGCTTCAGTTTGCAAAGATGGGAAGTTATAAAGATGGATGGCGGGGATGGCTGCATCATAATGTGAACATGCTTAATGCCACTGAGCCGTGCACTGCGAAGCGTCTTAGTGGTGGATTTTATGTTACGGATCTTTACTGCCTTTTAGAAAATGTTTTAAAATGACCTTTCATGAAAGAATTAGGGTAATTGATATTATGAGTTAGTGGGAGTTGTGTGCACATGTCCGGAAGTGATAAAAAGACTCTAGATTGGTTTCCCATACCTTTCGGGGATTTCACTGGCTCACGTAGTCCCAGTGTGACACTCACAACGGTGCGAGGGGTCTGGCCTCCTCGGTGCCCACCTGCCCAAGATCGCCGCACCGGCCCTACCTTCTCCAGCGTCTCCATCCCGCAAGCCAGGCGCATGCGCGCACGCACTGTGGACCGTAACCGAGTGCGCAGGCTCCAGGCACCGTTTCCCGATCGGTCTCCGCCCCTTTCCCCCTTCGAGAGGCGGCCTCGGACTGGTGCGCATGCGTCGCGGCGAGGGGCGTGCCCGGAGCGACTCCCGGCGTTGTCTCTCGCGAGAGGCCGGCCCGCGGTCTCGCCGCCCGCTCTCCCCGCCCTCGGCTTTCCCGGCGTCCGCTGCAGCGTCAGTCTCTGTCGGGCCTCGGCGGCGGCGGTGGCTGCGGCAGCGGCGGCTCTTCGGCCTCAGCCCAGTGCCCTCGGCGCCCCCCGACCCTGGTCCGCAGCGCCGCTCACCCTCGTCGCCCCAGCACAGGCCTAGGCCGCGGCCACAGCCCCGGGCTCGCATCGGCGCCGCCCGCTCCCGGCCCGCTCCCTATGGGCCCCGGTTAGAGGCGCCGCCGCCGCCGCCGGCCCGCGGAGCCCCGATGCTGGCCCGTAGGAAGCCGGTGCTGCCGGCGCTCACCATCAACCCCGCCATCGCCGAAGGCCCGTCCCCCACCAGCGAGGGCGCCTCCGAGTGAGTGGGCTGGGCTGGGGCGGGGAGGGGACGGGTGGTGGGGGGTCCCTGAGTGGGGAGGGAGACCTTGTATTCTGCAGACGGGAATAGGATACCCTGAATAGTGAGGTCGAGGGGGAGGGGGCCCCTGAGGGGAGAGGATGGCATGAGGGGTCCCTGAGCACCGAAGTCGGAGGAGAGGGGGTCCTCAGTGGTGAAATCGGCGTGAGGGGGCCCCGAGTGGAGAGGTCAGGGGAGAGAGGACTCCTGAGAGGGGAGAACGGGGGTGAGGAGGCCCTGAACAGCCAGATGGGGGAGGGCGTCCTTGGCTAGTGAAATCAGATTGAAGGAGGGTTCTTGCCAGGCGGGATGAGGTGAGTGCTTGAGTAGTGAGTGAACCAGGGCAACGGGAGGCCCCTGCAGGGAAAAGACCGGGTGTGGGGCCCCCGAGGAGTGAATCCAGGGTGTGAGGGGAGAGGGAGGGTTCCTGAGAGCAGCATGGGTCTGCAAGTCCTAGTTCTGAAGTTGGAGGGAGGGAGCCCCTATGTAGTGAGGTCAGAGTATAGGGCCCTGGTGGGGAGAAGGAGGTGAGGAGAGTTCCTGAGTGGTGAGGACAGATTGAGGGGTCTTGGGGAGGGTCCCTGTGGGGAGAGAACAGGGTTGAGGGTGGTCCCTGAATAGCGGATCAGTAGGGGGAGGGGATTTGTTGAGGTGAGCTGGGTCCCTGAGAGATGAGTACGGGCGTGGGGGTCTCTGAGAAGTGAGGGTCTCTGGGAATGGGGAGAGGGAGCCTGAGAGACTTAAAAGGGCAGATGAGAAGATGCTGCTAGTGGAGGTTGGGGTGGAGCCACTGAGGCTGGGGAAGCAGGGCCAGAGGAGGATTTGGAAGGGCGGGGTGTAAGGAGAAATGTGAGCAGTGGAGGAAAGAAGTGGGGGGTGGGGGCTCTCTTGACCGCTGAGGGCAGATGAGCAGAGGTGTTGAATGAAATAAATAAGCAAAGCCTGGGTGGCTGGTGCCATGTGGGCAGTTTGAGGCCATTGAGGGGGACAGGAGACTTGGGGAGATACAGAGAAAGGAGCATCGGGTGATGGATGGGGTTATCGGATGGTGGGATCATATTGTGTGAGGGGCACGTGCTGTGAAGTCACACGAGGGTGACAGCTTGGCCCCAGATGCCAAAGCCTAGCAGGACTGTCCTCGAGGCTCCTGGCTGAGGTCTGTTTACTGTGCTTGTGGTGTGACCAGGAGAACCAGGTATGGGGGCGAATGGCATGTTTGAGGCCCCCCAAACTGGATAAAAGAGAATCTTGATGCACATGTGTGCACGGTTAACATCTTCCTGTCTCTGAGCCTGCAACTCAATGTGGGGCCATGTTCCTTATTTTTAAAAAGCCACTCCTCATTCATCTCACAGGAGAGCCCCTGCTTCATGTTTTCTTCTCTCCCATGTGATTTCTGATTTTCATCCCCGCAAGAATTCCCCTGGTAGAGAAAGCCAGCCATTGGAATTCCAGGGGTTTTTTAATAACCACAGTTGTGTTGCCATTGCATTTAAAGTGGATTAATCAGCTGACTCCAGAATGCATTTAGGTGTCAGAGGGTAGCCCTGGAGACCTTGCAGGGTCTGGCCTCAAAAGCTGCCTCTTGGATCCTGCAGGAAGGAATGGTGTCCTGTACCCTCATTCCTCAGCCTGCCTGCCTCCCTTCGTCCCCACCTCTTTGTCACCAGGCATTCAGCGGGCACCTGCTAGGGGCCATGTGCGCAGGCTTTCAGTCAGGAAGGACACGGGATTGATTCCAGCCATTGCCACTTCCTTGCACTGTGACCCTCAGGCAAGTGAACCTCTTTGAGCCTGTTCTCCCGTGTGGGCTGGGACTAGGAGAGACCCTCCCAGGAGGATTTGAGAATTGAGAATGAGATGGTATTGAAAGCCCTACTCTGGGCTCAGGAGGTGGCACCTAGCCCCCTGCCTTCGAGCGTCCCCTTTGCAGCACCAGCTCAGGTGACATTGCCCAGTGGCATCTGTCCCACTCTCCATAATTGTCTTATCACCTGTGCACCTCTTCTGTGCTGCTTTAAGTTGTAGGTCAGTCATGGTCGAACTTGGGGATCAGAAGGTTCCGGAAAGAACTCCAGTCTCCTCCTCCATCCCCTACTCCCATCCCACCTGTGAGGTCTCCCTGAGGAGGGCAGTCAACCTTGGATTTAAAGACCCTCAGGAATTGATGGCTGAGGACTTCCCAAAATGGCCCATCCTCCTCTAGAGACTTTTCTTAGAGCTGCACCCACTGTCTTGGTCCACCAGTCCGTGGCCATAGCCAGCACGTGAAATGTGGTTATCCAAATTCAGAGGAGCTGTAAGTGTAACGTGCATTCCAGATTTCAAAGGCTTAACATGAAAAAAGTCCATATTCATTCATTTGTTTATACTGATTACACCTTGAATGTTTGTGTTTTTGATGAGTTAAGCCAAATACATTAAAATTTCACCTGTTTTTTTTTTTTCTTTTAACCATGACTGGAAAATTTTTAGTGGCACACATGGCTCTGATCTTACTTGTTTTGAGCAGCACTGGGTTAGTCCTTGTGTGTGCTGAGCTAAAGTCTACCTGCTGTTATAGGGATCTGCTTTTTTCTCCAGGATTTGGTTCAAAGTCAAGGCATTAGTGACAAGAGCTTATTGTCAGATTTCCCTTGGCTGTTCCTTGAATCACCCAATAAGGTGCAGTGTAGATGGTGGTTTTTTTAATAACTGGGTCCAGGAACGTGTGTGCACGTAAGTGCCTAATGTTTACAGTGGTAGTCAGGATACAAGAACATGCTGGTTGGGCAGAATGCCTGTGCTGTTTCAGCCATGCCTCGCCTCTCCCCCTCGTGGGCCTAGAGTAACTCACATAAAGATTTGTGGGCTAGCTGCCCACAACTCCTGTTATCGCTGCGGCTCGCCAGCGCCCAGAAGCTGCCCCTTCTCGGGGCTCATGATGGGCAGCAAGATGGCGTCTGCCAGCAGGGTCGTTCAGGTAGTCAAGCCACATACCTCACTAATAAGGTTCCCTGACAGAAGAGAGAATCCTGAACCCAATGTATCAGAAGTTTTGAGATCAACAGGACTGCCATCTCCCTCTTCTTCGATTCCACAGCATTCTAAGGGAAGTAAATCACCATGCTGGCCGATGCGGCAGGGTCCACCAGACACGGCAGAAGTAATAAAAACGTTACCCCAGAAATACAGAAGGAAACTTGTGTCTCAAGAAGAAATTGAATTTATCCAACATGGAGCTCCAGAATAATCACTGACAGTGTGGCTGCTGTTTGTCATCAGACAAAAGAATAGTCTTTACAATAAAGGACTTCCAAAATGACAAATGAGAAGTCATATATTAAACAATTTTAATACGTATTCTGTAAAAAAAAATGAAATAGAGAAAATTTAGATGGACACTTGTAGCTCCTAATTTATGTATCTTGGTCAGCTTTTCCACAAGCTTACCTAATTGTTTATGTACTTTATCTTTATTAAAGTATACATTTTAAAATGTTAAAAAAAAAAAAGACTTGTAGGCTGCAGCTTCTGTCTTCTGCCCAGTGGTTCTTGATTTTTGCTCTGAGTCTGTTCATGAGATGTTGGCCCTTCTGTCCTGAAAGGCAGGCGTCCTGGCCTGGGCCTTCACTCGCCTGACCCCCCCCATCTCGCCTCCCCCATTCCCTCATCTCCTGGTGGGGTCTGGAGCCCTGGTACCAGAAAGAGGACCCCTGGGTCTAATACCAGAGCCAGTGAGCCAGAGCCAGTCCCGAGGTCTCGAAGTCCCCCAGCCTTCGTGGGGGGAGAGGTGGTGTCCTCAGTTCTGGGAGCCAGGCTTCCCTCCCGGTCAGCCGCGTGTCCACAGGGGATCTTGTCTGCTAGATCGTAACAGGCGCGCCTCAAGTGCCAGAATCGGGCCTGATTTCATCTCTGGCCGCACACCTGGGGCCAGGCATGTAGCGGCCGCACAGTCACCCTGACCGGGGCCGAGTCATCTGCTCCAGCTGGCGCCCGCTTTGCTAACCCTTGCCCTTGGGGTCTCTGCAGAGCCAACTTGGTGGACCTCCAGAAGAAGCTAGAGGAGCTGGAACTCGATGAGCAGCAGAAGAAGCGGCTAGAAGCTTTCCTCACCCAGAAGGCCAAGGTCGGGGAGCTCAAGGATGATGACTTCGAGCGGATCTCAGAGCTGGGAGCTGGGAACGGCGGGGTGGTCACCAAGGTCCAGCATAGACCTTCGGGCCTCATCATGGCAAGGAAGGTGAGAGGCGGCCGGCAGCAGAGTGGTGGTGGGGGCAGCTTGTGGTGGGGGCAGGTGCCCCCGGAAACGGGGGAGTCGGCTGAAAGGTTCAGGGCTCTGCTTTCCGCTTGGCTCCGGGTCTGAGGCCCTGCCCGCAGGCTGCGAGTTAGGAGGCGGTGGTGCTCGCCTGCCTCGGTCACATCTTCCTTCTGATCCTGACCTCTGCCTTCTGGAGCTTCTTAAATTCAGATTCTCAGAAATGTCCAGACTGTTCATAGACTGGCGTGAGAAAGGCGACCCGCGGAGTTTGGGGGAGGGAAGGAGGAGGGCCAGGCCCCCTTAGAGCTGGCATCACCCTGACCTCACAGCCAGGAGGAAGCACTGCAGACCCAGGTGGCCCTGCTGCTGGCTCCATGGCCACAGTGAGAGGGTCCCTTGGCAGTGAGGCGGGGGTGGGGGTGAAGGGGAGAGAGACTTTAAGGAATTGGCTCATGCCATTGTGGGGCCTGGCGAGTCTGAAATCTGCGGGACAGGCTTGGGGGTTGGGGCATAGGGGCTGGACACCTGCCTGGAGGCAGAAGTCCCTCTTCTTTGGGAAACTTTAGTCTTTTCTCTGAAAGCCTCCAAGTGATAAGGGAAAGTCATCGATTTCATTCAAAGTCTGATGACTTCCATGTTAAGTCCCATCTAAAAAAAAATACCTCACAGTGACACCCAGGCTGGTTGGTGTTTGACCAAACAGCTGGGTACCGTGCCTGACCAGATGGACACATGAAATCAAGCTTCACCTCATCTTTCAGTGTAAACCATGGTGCCACGAAGTCCCGAGCCTCCCTCATCTGGCCATCGTGGCAGTACAGCCTCCCTACTGAGCGTGCCAGAATTATCCCTGCGAGGCGCAGAGAATGGAGGAGGATGTGACCATTCGGGGACAGCAGCTCCTATGCACATGACCAGGGGAACTTTGTATGGCAAATCATCTAGTTCACACAAGCATGTTTTTTCACACAGAGAGGGCCGCCTCTCTCTGGAAGCCCATTGTCCTGCAGTTCCCTAGTCATACTCTGGGATCCCAAGCGCCCCATGCCAGGGTGGCTCTGGGCAGGCCCCGGCGTTCCCTGGAGCAGTGCACCTGGTTCCTGCAGGAATTTAGCACTGCAGCTACTTCTCCTGCCTCCAGAACACCACCCTCCCTCCTGAAACCTATTTCTGTCCCCATACTGCAGGCAGCCTTTTTAAAACCAGAACAGCCCCAGAAATCTCTTCTTTCCCATCACCCAGCCCCAGAAATCTCTGATCATCTCCCATAACCCAAAGCCTGGGGAATGAAAAAGCAGACAGCGACAGGGGCACTTGAGAACAGAGTGCTGGTCAGAGCTTGTGTCAGGGACCGAGGGCTCTCAGGCCAGCCTGGGAGTCTTCCTGGTGGCCACCAACAGGCCGTGAGGTCAATGTGAGTCCAGGAGTTTGTCTACAACTTGATGAAAGCCTTCAAAGTAAAATTTAGGAGTTTAAAACTGGACGGGGGTGGGACGCAGGTGAGTTCTTCACCTCCTTACAGTGCAGTCCTGGTGTCAGTGTCCTGGATTTGTGCTGTCCTTCGGGCATGTGAGACACCGCCGTCGGCGAAGGGTACACAGCTGCTGCTCCTGCATCTCTCCTGTGATCTACAGCTCTTTCAGAATGAACAGTTGAAATAGGTCCACATGACTGGAGAAAGGGGACCCCGGATTCTGTTGCCTGTAGAGTGTACACAGACTCCGGCTGTGGGTACCTAATGGCCTCGCCCAGCACAGTGTCAGAGCAGGTGCCTCCAGACACTGGGTGAGCACCCTGAACAGGGGGGCTGTATCACTAGCTGTCTTGGGGGTCAGGACTGTAACTCCATGGTGACCTGGGAGCCCTTGGCCAGACTGGCGGGAGGTGGGGGGAACACCTGCTGAGGGCACAGATGGGAAAATTGACGGGCACCACGGTTTTTAAGAAGCAGTGGCCTCGGTCCTTTCACTGCCCTCAGTGGACTCCCAAACACCCCGGGTGTGAACTGCACACCTTACCAGTGTGTCAATTTACCAGATCTCCAAAGCGGCCTGCCCACAGGGCAGAGGGGAGTGGGCTGGGTGGAGCTTCCAGAAGGCCTGTGCAGAGCCTGCTCTGGGGGCCAGCAGCCTTTGTTGCCCACGTCCCCCTGTCCCTGTGACAGGCAGGGGACTCTCCTAACCAGTTGTACGAGGGGGCAGAGCAGTTATGTATGACCTGAGCAGGCTGGTCCCAACTTCTGCAGTCACCCCTGTTCATAAATGTGTTCCAACTCCTGCGTCCTTCCGAGAACCCTGGGAGCAAAGCCTGTGCATCCCTCGGGCCAGCAGAGGCCTCAGAGGGGGGCACGTTTCCTACGCACACGGGCTCCCTTGACATCCTTGTTCTCCCAGCAAAGGGATGTGCTGTTGGCTTCACGTGTACGTTCCCGCCGCCTCACTTGTTTGTATGCTTATGGGACCTTCCGGAGGCCACCTGTTGTACTGGCTGCTGTCTGTGAAGTGATCGCTCTGGGTCAAAGCTAGTGCTGAAACACTGATGCATGTTCTCATTTAAATGGAACAGCAGCTCCATTTCACAGATGAGAAAGCTGAGGCCGAGCAGTGTGGGTCTGAATTGGGTGTGAACCCTGTTGAGTCTGCCCTTTGCAGTCCACCCTGACCTGGTGGACACTGTCAGGGCTTCGTCCCCAGAATCCATTCTCCTCTCCAGTTTGTGTCTCCCATGCCCGTTCTGACTCAGACCCGTTCTGCAGTGGAAACTGCCCTGAACTCCTAGAGGGGTTTGGTGACTCGTTTCAGCCACCAGGACCATTCCTGTTTAATCAGTTATTGGGGCTCACATGACCCTGGTGGTCGTGTGGAAAGAGCATGGGCTTTGGCGTTCCGTGGACCCAGCCCTGATCCAGACTTGACCACTCCCCACCCGTTCCCCCGAGAGCATAACGTGTCGGAACCTGAACTTGATTGTCAGCGCAATGGGGACAGTTACCCCGGCTCCCCCAGAATCGTCATCAAGGAAAATCACAACACACGTGCCCAGGAATGTGCCTCTTGCCTCCCATTCCTGCTCTTTCCCCGCACTCCCTTGGCGGCTCCTAGTCGATCCAGAAGGCTTGCTTTACAAGCCCCACACCCTGTGCCTCCCTGGCACCCCTGGTGCTTTGTCCTCTCAGGGGCAGTTTTGGTCCTTCTGTCTAAATGCCCACCCCCACCTTGTCCATGTGGCTGACTCCCACCTGCCTCCAGGCCCAGATCACCTCTCCGTGACTTCTCTGCTGGGGCGCCTCCTCAGGCAGCAGGATCGTCTGCACCTCTTGCCCTCCTGACATGTGTCTCCTAGCAGAGCCATCTTTGCCATCTTTCTCCCTGTCACTGGCCTGGCACGTAACAGACTCCATGCAAACATCCGTAGAATTGATGGTGATCAGTTTTAGATCCCTGTGACCTGGCTCCTGTCTGTCAGGCAGTTGGAAATACACCTTTTTCCTATCTTATCACAATGGCTGGAGCCACTGGGATTCCAAATAGCCAAGACGGAGCCCCACAGCCTCGGCTCTTTCTGCTGGGCAGTGGTCTTGGCTCGTTTGGGGTGTGCAGTTGGGAGTTGCTCTTGGTGTGTTTTGTCAGCTTTTCTGCATCTCTCCAGATGATCTTTTGGTTTCCCGTCTTCTGAACTGTTATGCTAAAGTTGGCAACAGTCCTGTCTGCTTACTTGAACTCAAGTGGAAGGGCAGCTGGGATCTTCAGGTGGTGACCAGAGGTTCTCTCTGCCTTGTCTCTAGCCTGGAGGTGGGGCGTCCCGGCCTGGGACCTGGGAAAGGCTGGCACTTTCCCACTGTAGTCCCCCTGTAACTAAGTGAAAAGGTTTGCTCCACTGCAGTTTCTTTTTAAACAGCTTTACTGAGATGTGATTCACGTACTGTACAATCTACCTCTTAGAGTACAAAATTCAGTTTTTTAGTATACTTGCAGCGTTGTGCATCTATCATCATCGTCAATTTTAGAACATTTTCATTACCCCAAAAAGACCTGGGACCCATGAGCAGTCACTTTCCACTCCCCTCTCCAGGCCCTGGCACCCGTGGACCAACTTTCTGTCTGGATTTGCCTGTTCTGGGCATGACTGTATGGCCCTGTGTGTCTGGCATCTCCTGCTGAGCACCGCGTGTTCAGGGTCTATCACGTGGCGTGTGTCCATGCTCCACTCCTTCTCGTGGCTGAGTAATATTCCACTGTGTGGATGGACCACAAT